AAAACTTTAGTTTCCTCAAACCTGCAGTACTAACTCAACCACTTTCTCCAGTGATTCCTGTAGACTTGCAGAGCAGAGAGGGGCTAGATTTCAAGTGGGAGAAAAGGAGTAGAAAGCAGAGAAGGCAGACAAACTTTTGAGCCTTCCTATCCACTGTACAGGACACAAAGGCACAAACACCTCCTTCTCCTTTTAGGGGAAAAGATCACTGTGAAGTCCTCTGGGACTGAAAGGCTCCTAGATAACAAAGATCAGAGCATACCAGGTCACTCCAACACATACACTGTATTCTAAGGTGAATTAGGTTTTGTACCTGACTCCATTAGATGCAGACAGTCCTGTGCTGGGGCCCCCCTGGGCTTGAGGCAAAGCCCAGGTGCTCTGTGCATTGAGTCTTGGTGTTGACCTTGCTCCAGACAAAGTTGGTTTGTTATAGGGAACAAAGCCGAGGCCAGAAGAACCTACTGACGTTGTCCTACTGGAAACTTGATGTGCAGTGGAGGAGTTGGGAAAGTTTGTCATTGAGTGCCGGTAGCGTGTGGTGATAGGGCCAGTCCCACTATTAAACCAACACTGTTGACAAGAACAAACCATTCCTGCGTGAACAGGCCCTGCAGCGGCCGTCACCGGATAAGGAACGTCCAAGCGCCTCTGAACACTTCGACGGAACTTCGTGGTCTTGTTGGTCTGGACTTGAGCCATAAAGTCAACTTCATAGTTGTAGCCTAAGGGTCCAAGATCTACTCGTTGATGGTTTGTGGCATGGGCTTGCTCCAGGAACACACACACGTTCATCTCATAGGGCGACCACCCACCTTCATCGTTCTGCCACTCCCACACGATGCCCTGCCCAGCAGCAGAGTCCTGAGGGAAGAGGTGCCTGCGGACGGCTCGCATTGTCCCTGGATGGGGGAAAAAAACATCCGTCATTTTGTGAGCAGGGTGGGCGGGAGACCTGGTTTCAGTGACCCATTAGTGCACAGATTTGCTGGTGTCTAAATAGGGGCGATCTCCCTCACCTCCCCCTCAGCAGGGGCACTAATAGCATTTCTCTCCCCAAGATGGCTGTACCTGCTCACAAAACTTAAGAGATATGCAATACCTCTGAGGCCTCTGTCCCTCTGCCAAATCTGACTGAGGGCTGGCAACAGGTTCAAAAGCTGCTGGGAGGAAGGGTGGGAAGGCAGGGAAAGATAGAGGATACAGAGATAGACACACCCAAGCACAAAGACACAGTGATCACATATGCCTCACTGCTGTTGAAAATCAGGCTGGGGAACAGATCTGGTAAAAAGCCTTGACAACAGAGTAACTATAGAGACGTGACACCACTGGGAAGTGCTTTGCAGAAGCGCTTATGGGGCTAGACACCTACTTCCCTCTGACTATACAAGGGTCTGGACAACTTCCCTTCCAGGGGAGCTGGTAAAGTCCTACAAGGGCAGGACGAGAACTTCTCCTGAGAGGGGACCAACAGAGCCAACTTCTCCAGGCCCCTGACTGCCTGGTGATGTAGCAAAACTAGAGAGGAAAAGCCAGCAAAGTAGTTTGGAAACTGCAAAGAACAGCTGCTCACACAAAAGAGGAGCAATGAAAGCAGACATGCTGCTTTTCCAAGGCCACTCTGCAGCAACAGCTGGAGCTCAACACCTACTGAAAACCTGGCTCTCCAGGGTGACTTCCCTCTCAGTTGCTTTTTTCCTTTTTTAAAGAAAAAGCCTAATGAGAAGGAAGTAAGCCACCTAACAGAACAGAGGTCTAACCTCTGCAAAAACGGCTTCCTGTGGCAGGGTCAAAACAGCTCCTGCTGGGAAAATCCTCAGCAGCCCTCCACACTGGGAAAGAGGGGCAGGAAGTGCCACAGGGCAAGCATGTCTGGGGATGCAGGCAGAAGGGTGGTGAACAGGAATGCAGTGAGAGAGTCGTTATGATAAAGGAGGAGTTCAGACAAGAAAAGCACCAAGAGAAAGAAAAAGACACCTCTAGAGAGGTCATGGGAGTTATGACCCTAAGTTCCAGAAGCCAAGGTGAAAAGGGGCACATTTACAAGTTCCTGCATCTCAGGTCTACGGAGAACTGCCCGAGAATTTTGCCCACATTTCTGTGTGAGGCAGGCAATCCAAGCAAGCTTATCACCCAACAAGCACACCCCAAGGAAGGAAGAATAGCCCACACTGAACTCCACACTGCCAAAACCTGTTTGCTACCTGTGTAGCTCTGGCTGGTTTAAGTATCTGGCTCAAGTATCTCTACTTCACATTGCTGTCATTTCTATCCCATACTCTTGGGAGACTGAAAACTGCTATGACTTAAATTATAAGGGCACTTAAATGCCTCCTATATCCCTGCTAAAAGTTGTAGTTGACTGCGTGGAGGTCATATCTTTTCCTCCTATCGCACTCCCAGGCTTCTCTGTAAACGACGCTTGTGTTTTCTGCACTGTGCTATGGTAGTCTAACCATAACGAGACCCTGGGCTGTGGTGCAGAGATGTCCTAATGTGTCATTCCAGGAACTAAATCAGGAAAGAAAAATCCGAGCTCCAGAGCTGAAATAAAGGCTGATAATTTCTCAAAAGCAGAATGTGCCAGAGCAAGGAACAACAGGACTCGCTTTTCTGCTAGGGAATTGAAGGCACCGAGAATTGAAACAACTTGCCTATGTCCATGCAGAAGATGAGCACCGAGGGAAGGTCCTAACCTGCTGCTTCAGCTGTCAAGCAGCACCAAGCGTTCCCTGCTTACTGCAGGGCAGGACTCTTCAGTGCCACTGTCCAACAGAAAACATCTAATCAAAACAACTAGAAAACCTACCAGCAGCCAGTGAAATACAGTAACCTCCCCTGTATGAGATTCAACTATAGGTTGAACTCTAATAGCTCAACTACCAAGCCCAGAGATCGTTCTGGGACAAGACTTTCACCTTGCAGAAATCTAGGCAGAAGACAACCACAGAACCAAGCTGCTCTTCCCCAGCCAAGAAGTGACTTCTTATATGGGAAATTAGAGCAAATAGCCAAGAGCGAATTCTAGCAATAACTGCTCCTATTCAGCAAACAAGTCCTGCCAAGCTTTATTTCAAGGCATGTGCAAATCTATGGTCTCAACAGGCAGGCTACATCAGGGAAGAACTCTTTAGGGGAGGGAAGGTTAGGGATGGGATTGTACTGGACTTGAGACAGAGAGAAATGCACTATACTTAGAGATGAGTAAGGGAACCTGCTCCCAGCAGAGAGGAGACTTCCACAGGTAAAGCAAGGCGTCAGAAAGCCCAGCAGGACACATGTATAAGAGGGGATGCACAAGGCTGTCCCTGCTGCGCTGGCAGGACAGAAGCAGCACAGGAAGGACTTTAGGAGTTGGTAAGTGACCTGTATCTTTATGATCCCAAAACAGTAGCAGAGAGAGGAGCTTTCAGGAGTCAACAAGACTGAAAGCAAGTGCTTCTTGGAAAATATCCCCTTTCCCCCAAGCTGGCAGGGAAACTGGCATTCCACTCCAGGGTGGGCAAACAGCTGTAGCGAGAGGACAGCTCCTGCTGCTCCCTTACATTCACTTCCAGCTAATCTGCGTAGACCAGCAGCTGAAGCTTGTAGCTAATCCTGCACACAAGATCCCCCTCCACAGCTGTCATTCCTGTTGGTGGGGATGCTTGTCCAGTTAACACTGGCTTCCTGTTATTCTCCCTGGCTTCCTTTGAAGAGCCTACTTGTCTGTAACAGCTAATGAGCAGAATACAACAGCTTATTTTTTGCTCCGTTTAAAGATTTTTTCATGGGGATGTTTCCTGCAGAGATTCTTTTCTCCAATACATGATAAAGGTCAGCTGGCTGCTTGTTCAGAAAGGTTCATGTTTAAGGCAGGGAGCCCTGCAGAGGAAGAGAGCTTTGCTTAGAATTGGGCCATAAAAAGGGGATATGAGAGCACTTTCAAGGCTCACACTGAAGACTATATGACACAGTTACTTGTGAAGGGAAACTCACAGGCCTGGCCACTCTGATCAGTGTCCCTCCAAATCGACGGGAAACACTGTGGGAGAGCTATGAAGTGGAATCAGCCATTTTGTTATTAAAGATTCTATCACAGATATCACCTGAGAAATGATGAGACCAGGTCAGCCAACACGGTTTCCAAAATTTTATAGTCTTTCCAGGCCCAGTCCCCAGAGATGACTAAATTTAACTCTTCTGCAATGGGCATTTGCAAGGTGTTTTGAGATCTTTCACAGGGACTAAAGAGATGCAAGACATCTACAGAGACACCACTCCACTTCTGAAGAAGGATGTCTCATTTACCCTGGGACGTATTGTTCATGGCCCCACAGATAATCCACTCCTGCAGGCCGGGATCTCAAGCACACCAAACTGATGGCAAAAGCCTTTCTGATCACTGTGCCAATCCAACAATCAAACAGACCATTTTCTGAAAATGGATGGTACCCTAGAGAGAAGGGCCGTTGCCTGTGCTTTGGGAGACTGGCTGAAAAGGCAAGAAGCCCCAAGGTTCCCTTCACAAGTTTGGCACTAAGAAAGCAAGAAAGAAACAGCCACAAATGCCAGCTCTGGTGGTCTATACTGTATTGCTCAAAGCCATAGCCTCCGTGGAGCTTGCAGGTGCTCAAACAGGCCATGCTGAGCCAGACCTGCTAACGCGTCCAGCTAAGAAAATTCTTCACCCAGGAAGCCCTTGGGCAAAACTAATCTCAAGGCTACTGGTGAGTGCTACAAAGTTAGAATATGAACACGGATGCAGCTGTAACGACCATTCATTTTGCTCCAGCTGCTTCCCCTTCCTGTAGGAGTTGCCTGATCATTTGATTCAAAATATTGCTCACTTATTGCTTCAACTGGCAAGAAACCAGTACACTGCCCATCTCCTGCATCTCCTACCAGGGTGACAGGAGGGGTGTTGGCAGAGGGGAAACTGATGCATGGAGAATTTTCCAAAGCACATATTCGGTTGGGGTATGTAATTTGGGATCCCCCCGAATTTTCTGGTGATGAAGAGCACATTCCACTCTCATTCCCTTTCTAAGCTACAGCTGCTCAGCACATCTGGAGCAAAAGAGGGTTAGAGTCATCTCAGCAAATTCTGAGCTGCTAGCCTCAGTGACTCCAAAGATGACAAGATGAGAATGAAAATTAGGTCTCAGTCCTGCTGCTAAGACCAGCCCACCCTTCCTGCCTAGGAAAAAGCAAGCAAGCCTCATATAGCAGGAGAAGCGGGGGACATTCTGCTGCAGCACTACAGCACTGTGCGGGGGCTGCAGGCTCCTGCAAAGCAGCTTGCGCAGGGCGGCATGCCAAGGTAAAGCAGCTGGCACTCCAGTCGCAGAGGGAACAAGGGATTCAAATGGGAGGGTTTGAATTGTAAAAAGGCCTTTTTGTGTGAGTGGTCTTGAATGAACACAGGCAGGGGGCAGGAAGAAAGTTTCCAGCTCTGTGGGCTCTAGCTTACAAGCTCTGAGCTCCAGAGTTCCCATGATAAGGCTCCTTAAGAAGTCACCTGCTGCCTGAAGTCACTGCCCTGGGAAGGAGCTGGGCCTGCTTGAGCCTAGCCACACAGCCCTGCCTATTCACATTGGCCAAGAGCAATTTGCACACGTGCCAGTAAGCTGGGTGGCAGACAGTATCAGCAGAGGAGCAGACACACCACTCGTCAGAGACCCTCCAAAAAACTGTCTGACAGTGGCAGCAGACAGCACTGCTTTGCAGAACTCTCCCGCCAGAACCAGGCTCCACGTAACTCCAAGCACACAAGCAGTCTCACCAAAATCCCAACACGGGCTGGGAAGCTTCCTTACCTGTATCCTGTCGGAACTGCGTCAAGCTTGGGATGTCGATGACATAGGGGGCCAAGACAGCATCAGCATGTCCCAAGGGAATGCTGTTGACAGGTCCTGGCCCCAAACGCCGGCCCTTCTGCTGAGAAGCTTGGAAAACCTGTTCAATGTAGCTGCACACGTTCCCTCGGTAGGGCCTCCACCTCCCGAATTCGTCCTGCCATTCCCACACTGCCACCACTGGGGAGTTGCTGTGCCCTGGGGCAGTGCTGGGGAGCCCAGATGGCCCAGCTGAACTGCTTCCTGCCCCCTGGGCTGCTGCCATTTTCCACCCTGAGGTCTGGGACACAAAGCGACTGGAAGCGGCAGCTGCGCTGGCTGGCTTTACACCATCTTCTTCTGAGGGACCTGCGAAGAAACAAAGAGAGCACAGAGAGCTGAGAAGGATGCCCCAAATCCACAGTGCACAAGCCATTTAAGGGAAAGAAACAAGCTCAGCCTTTCACAGAAGACGCTCACTGATGCGTTCAGGAGATTACAGAGAAGTGCATCAGCCTCAAAATCCTCTGGTCAAGGGCAGATCACATACCACCCCCACAGTCCTTATTTCCCTGCCAATGCTAGCAACTTTTCTTGCTAGAGCATAAGCTCTTTCGAAAAAACTCTGCTTCCTACAGCCTGCAGAACCAGATACTACCAGAGCTGCTACAGACCTGTGCAAAACCACCCCAAAGAAGCTGAGGATAATCCACATTCGGCACATCTGTAAGCCCGGACCAGAGTTCAGAGGCTCGCCAGGCAGCAGTGTGCCATATAGCAGGCAGCCATCCTGCACCCCGCCCTTCCCTACGTTCAGACCTGGTCCTGGCAGTGTTTAGCTCTCAAACTACCCCAACACAAGTTGCCAGCTTGTGAGTAGGAGCTCTCTGAGCACTTGTGAACACAAACGACTTGGTTATACAAGTGTTTCATAAACTCTTCTTGCTGTCATCCGTACTTCGGGGCTGCAATGCCAGTTCTGCTCAGACTTCTGGTTATTCAGTTTTGATCCAGAATCAGTCCCTTGAGTCCCTCTGTGTAGCATTATACATTCACACAAAACCAGAAGGTAATCCTTTATGCCCAACCCAAGAGTCTGCAAATCACACTATGACAAAGCAATGTTAAGATCGATCTGAATGAAGAATGGATGGAAATGTGTGAGTATGGAGGCATCAGATGTATTAAAGGGCATATGAAACTGCATTTACTGATGGCACTTAGATTAAGATCCCACCACACCTACCTGCAGCTTCTCAGGTTGGAAAACAAGGGACATCCTGAAACAAGGGATGTCACAAGATTCAAGCCATTAAGAGATGATCTTGAGAAGAATAGAGAATAGGAGCCTTAAGACACCCAGATAAAAAGACAAAGGCTAGTGAGTAAATCCTGATGACTCACAGAAGAGTGACAGGATGCAGAGACAAAAGATCACAGTTACCGTTAGCTCCCAAAGTATATAAAAAGGCAGACACAAAGCCAGCACATGACAGTCAAACTAAGAATCCAAGAGACATCTGGAGGACTTAATAGCTGGCATCCCTTGTCTGCTGTGTCACTGCAAGGAATCCTGTCCAGACCACCTGGACACGTGCATCTTGGTGCCTGAATGCTGCACAGACCCCTTGGAGAAACCCACATTGGTGCTTGTGTGCAGGTGGATATGACAGCATGAGCGTGAATGAGCAAAGCCAATTTTATTCTAAAATAAAATCACTTTCTCCCTCCTAAGGTCTCACGATGCCGAGTGCTCACTTTACTACCAGCCAACAGGGAGCTATGAGCCTCCTTTTTGTCAAATAGAAAGGTTTAGGTCCCCAAGATGCAGATAACTAGTGGGTGGTATCCACTGGAGGATGCCATCTGCATGGAGAATTACACTCCTACCGGATGGGGGAAGATCCCAAGCTGCTTGGAGCGTCCCGTCCATCACTCTTGCATGGTTCACTAGCTTAAAAAAGGAAAAAAAAAGGAGCAAAGACACACCCACGTGTCTGCATTTATAAGAAGAAACCAACACTTTCTCCAGGAATTCAATGAAAATTAGTTATGAGCTGCTCTATGAGATTTTTACAGAACACCCCCAGCTTGACTGCTGTTGGCAACAAACCGCTTTAGATTACCAACAGCAGAAGGCTCTGGTCACAAAAATCATTTTTTGCTGTAACTCATTCTCCACCTAATGTACCAGGGATGGTTATTTTCCTGTTCAAAACAGTAAATTACTTCACACAAACCTCTGGTATCAAACTTGACACCTACCTCTGCTGCTTCTTTTCATGGCAGGTTTCACGCCAACACTATTACTCCTCAGAGACCGTCAGCATTTCCACGCTCTGCTTGAACAAGTATGAGTTTCTGTCCTCCCCAGTATGGGGCTGTACACACTCATTAGATGCTCTGAACCCCAATTAGAGAACAGACACCTTTTTTTCCCCAAAGTCTTCTTTAACAAACACTGATCTGCAGATCTTCAGCCACCAGCAGAGCAGGCGACCAGTAGGAGGATTTTTGAAGGGAGTCAGCAGTTTGTTTTCCTTCCTTTTTAAAATATAGTGGCAGGAAATGGAAAAAAGAAGGAATCACAGCAGAAAAACACCGAGCGCCACCTCGTTTACATACCACCTTGCACTCACTGCAACACTGGCCAAGACTGGCTGAGACCAGAGAGGTAACAAAGGTCTATTATTCACTTCCTCGGAAGGCAGCGACGCTTTGAATTCTGGACCACACGCACCAACCCGCTCCCACACACAAGCAAAGGTACCCGACTGGCTGCATGCGAGCATGGTGTGCTCTGACATTCACTCCCCATCAGTAAGGAGAGCTATTTCCTGCACTGGGAATGCAGGTCCCAAGGAGTAAGGAGTGTATTTCAGCCTCTTCTTGTCACTGAACAGTGCTCTAGCTGGCAGCTGTTTGCAAGGATTGGGAAGCAAGGAACGCACACCATCAGTCACAGGAGAGAACTTCAGTATGCCAAAATTACAAGAGTATCCGAGTTAAGGCACAGAAGGGGGGAAAAAGACACAAGTTGCAGTTCCTTCCCCCTTTCATGAATTCAGTGACACACAAACATTAAAAGCTGAGAAATTCAATATGAAAGCTGCTCGTCTACCCCCTTGGGCTGCTGTGCACATTACACAGGCATACAGAGAGGTTTGGGGTGGGTTGCTAACACAGCTTTATGGATATGGCTGTGGCTTTGGATGCGTTATATATCCTACACCCACTTTGCTGGCATAGTGTTTGGGATGCTAGCAGCAGCAATTCAGCATTACCATCTACAGCATGCCAACGCAGCTCTCTCCTGACCCTGCTTGCCTGCTGCACCAGCTCCTTTACGCTGGCTCTGTTCTGGGGAGATTTGCAACCACTGAGAGAGTAGCTACATGTCTTTGTTAAAATCCCTCAGACTAACCCTTCACCTTTAATTTTAAAAAGAACCTGAAAGTCAAACCTACCCCAAAGAGCTATGTTTATTCAGCAAATAATCCTGGCTCCAATTAGAAATCCTAGTGGGCCACCTTGCCCCAAATGAAAACAAACCCCCTGCTACTTGAAGTGGATACTTAAAACAGTCCAGCCAACTGTCCTCCACTTTGGAGGTGATTTTTAACTTCGGCTCACATCCTGAATTTGGATTTGTTTGGTTTGATCTCTATGCCCCAGCACACCTGTCGTAATATCTGCCCACAAGGCTTTATTTAACTGGGGACTTGGACAAGTTAAAGAATTTGGTGCATTTCAGTTGTGTTTCCCAGCAGATTCGCCTCCTGCTCCTCGAGCTCCAGCAAAACATGGGGAGAAAGCTGGGGAGGGACAGGCAGGAACGAGGGGAATTAAAACATTTGAAAGACATTTAATTCTCAGACCTGTTCTACTTACCATAAAATAGAATTTTCTTTTCCTTTGAAAGTAAGGTCTTAAAAGTCAAAAATGGTTTCTAAAAACCCCACATCCCTTTTTAAGTTTCTGACCTGAAATTGCCAGTGCTAACAAGAAGTTACATGGTGAGCTAGTTTGTACCACAAGTGCAAGAGAGAAGGCCTCAGGAGTCCTTGGGCTTGGCTGGGGTTGCAGGCTCTGTTCAAAAATCACCAGAATGAGAGTCTTCAGAACACGGAGATGTTTCGGCACGTTGTTCAGACACAAGGGTGCCCAGGAGAGACTTGTTAGTGCCACTAACAGCATACGAGAGGTGGCACTGGAAGAGTTACAGACAAGCCCTTATAGATAACTGCTGGAAAAAGATTATACACTGATTAAAAGCGTATGTAAAATAGAAGAAAGCAGTGAGACTGTAATAAGGCAGGGACCCTCGGCAGAGGGGGTGCCTCACTGGAACAGTATTTGATATGCCCTGTGCCACTGCAATGCCAAATGGAAGAGCAGCTAGCCCCCTTGCAGCACCCCGTGACATCTAATCCCCCCCCCCCGGTCTGGACCCAGCGCAACAGGAGCTGCAAATATACTCATGCAACAGGTCCTCTGCAGGCTCTCTGCAAGGGATGAAGCTCCTGCTGGATAACTGAGGGGAACATACTGCGAATGAAAACGGGGCCTCAACTCACAAATCCCAAACCCTTCATTGCTCCTGGGCCATCTGGGCCCAATGGGACACAGCCTGACTCCACCCACAGAGCAAGACTGCCCAGCTCAGCTCACTGCTGCTCAGAGACTTTGCTCTCCAGCCATCTGTGGTCTGACTGCTGGCAAAAGAGGCTGTAATTGCTGCTTCAAGCCCCCAGTTTCCACCTGCGCTGGGGAATATTTTGCAAAAAGACACTCCGTCCTGACCAGGAACTCAGGAAGATGAGCAGGTGACACCATCAGGCCACAACGGTGTCCACAGGGAGAAATGGGAACCGTTTAACCAAGCAAAGATCAGGAGAGGCCAGTCCTTTCCCCAGCTCTGCCATCTTGGGGAAGCCATTTAATTGTTTCCAGTCACCTGACTTCTGTCGCTTTGGCTATCCTAAGCACTCCTTTCCGTACACACATGTCCAGCGCCGAGTAGCACAACAGCTAGCAGCGACCCAGAAGATGGGGAAGGATAGAGCAAAATGGTAGAGGGGAGGTCGCAGTCGGGGTCAGACCTAGACACAGTCCTGCTTTCTTGTAGCCTTCGCTGGTAATCACAGCACAAGGTGGCTGGGTTGGCAGCCAAAAGAACAGAAGAAATAAAACCTGTCCACCCAAAACCTGGATTCCCTCCATTCAAAACAAATTTCAAGAAAATTCCCTTTGGAGGAGGAAATAAAGAGTGTAACTGGAGCAGAACAAAGCATTTGCCTATCAACTAGGCAGAGCACTTATTTCAGGCACGAATGAATAGGAATGCTGAGGCAAAGCGAACAGGGTAGGTACACTTGAATATAAGAACAGTTGCCTGGCATCAAACCAAACCCAGCATCCTGCTCACTTGCTCCAGGGTCCTTCCAGGGCACTGAAATAGAAGATTATCGACTTGGAGGGAGATTATTTACTCATGGGAGTGCAAACCTGGCAAAATCTGGAGGGCTTCTCCATTTTCGCCAAAGCTTCAGCTAGTAACAAGAAAGCTTTTATTTATTTATTTTCTTTTTGCAGGTAGAAAGAAAATCTCCTACCCAGTCTCAGGAAGCCAATTCTCTCAACAGACCAGCACCCATGTCATTTAGAGAAGTTCCCTACTGGACCATGCAGCTGGATTCCAAAATACTATATGAGAAGTCAAAAGTCAAGTCCCTGCCAATGGGAGCTGGTGATTCATTCAATTCACAGCCAGTCCTGCCACTTTGCCACATAACACACCCATTAGAAGTTAAAGATGACCTTAGAAGATTTAAATAAAACACCACACGGCACAAACAGATTTACATCAACAAACTCTTACCACTTCCTTGCTTAAATATACTATCTCCTTGTTTAAACACCAGAAAGCACTTACAGTTACCCACAGACAATTTGCTATTTCCAAGATCCTTTTGCAGACCTACCCTCAGCTTCGGAGGTAAATCAGGAGTTGTCCAGGCAGTAACGAACACCCACACAAACACGAGAGACCATGGGCTGGAAGCAAAGAAGGAACTTAGAGTTTGATGCAAGGAGAACTATGTCCTTGCTCTCTAGGCCGTATAACCACAGCACAATTCATTAAGCACAATAAAGCTAAGGCAGCAGACTTTCAAGAGCACTATGGGATGATTCCTCGAGACAGAGAGGAGCTGCCCTGAGAGCCCAGAGCTTCCAAAAGACGGAGACCCCACTCCCAGCTGCCTGCTCCTGCTATGCACTTTGTATGAGCTCTGCTGCCTGTCAGATCCCTCTGCAGGAATAATCAAATCACTAACCCAGCAGAAAACGAAACCAGGGAAAAAGGCGGATAGCTTTCTGTTGGGATAGCAAGTTGAAACGGCTCTGCAGGACTGGCAGGAGGACTTTGCCCACCCAGCAGTGGAGAACGCCTTGCAGAACCAGAGGTGCAGAGGAGTTTGGCAGCACTACATCTCATCAACGTTCGCTTCTGCTGTTTAGGTTTGTAATTCACCCCAGACCCTCACTGTCCAAGGCTGGTACTCAAACCCAGCTCTCCAGCAAAAAGGCTGTCGTCTACTGTCCAGGTAGACAAAAGGAAGCCTGTTTAAAGTAATCCAAACCTTCTGCTTGTTAGGCAACTGAGTCACGGAGCAACTACATGATTAAGCCAGGGTTTAAAAGCAGTCCTAGCACAGTCAAGACTCGGTCACGGGAGGCTGAAGTCTGCGGCAAGCCCCTTTCTTTCCCTTCCTTTCCCAGTGTGATAAGGACAGGTCTGCAGAGGTTTCTCCGAGCCCTCTCAGAGCCAGGAGCAGAGGAGCTGGTTTCGCAGCAGCGCGCCCTTCCTCCCAAAGGGCCCCCGCGCCGAGGGCAGCCCCAGCGCAGCCACCGCACGCCGCGAAAAGCAAACC